TACAAAAGTGACTATTTACAACGAAGGCGTGGGGAGCGCACGATGGGGTGGGGGTACAGGGGAGAGACGGGGTCGGAGGGAGCGCTCCGCCAGCGGGAGGCCACGCCCCTGGGCCCACCTTTTAAAGGGACAGCCAAACAGCAAAGCTTTTTTTTTTTTATAGAGGATCTCTATCCCGGGGGCAGGTGGCTCCCGGGGGGGGGGGGGGGGGGGGGGGGGGGCAAGGGATGGGGTGCGGGTTGGGGAGGCATGGGCGGTGGGAGGAAATGGAGAGAAGGTAGCCACTGCCCCCAGCCTCCCTCCTCCCCCCACACCGGACACACAGTTTTCCGTGGGATGAACACAGAAAGGGTTAATCAAAAAGAGTTCGATGAGCGAGTCTGACGGTCGAGTGGGGCGGGCTGGAGCAATGAGGCCGCGCAGGTTCCGGTGGCCGGTGGTGATGGAGTCACTTAGAAGATGAGAGGTTGGTGGTTTTAAGAGGGTGGGATGGGGAGGGGGAAAGGGAGGTGGGTTAGGCAGTCCCCCAGTTATCTCTGAGAGATAAGACTAGCTGAGAAGGGATTAAAAACCAGCAGCTTTGAGCACCACCAGCCCCGACGGAGACGCCCCCCTTCCATTCCTGCGACCCTGTCCTCCTTCTTGCCCCCAGCCCACGGCTCCCAGAGGACCCTGAAGCTGACCACCCGCCAGGACACGCACAGCGCGGAGGGCTGGGTGTGGCGAGAGCCCCAGAGCCGCCTCCCGGCCTCCAGAGTGACCTCCAGTTCAGGCTGTCGCCACAGCCGGCGGCGGTTCCAGGCTGCGCGGGGCAGGTGCGCGAGTTGTCGCAGGGCCAAGGCCAGCCTAGCTATCGCGACAGGTGCGCACCCACGCTGCAGCCTGGGAAGCCAAGCTGCCGTCCTCATGGCCACTCCAGCGCGCACCTGTGCTCACGCTCAGTTCCATCACAACCCTTGGTCCTGGTGTTCCAAGCACAATTGTCAACACCGGGGAAGACGCCTCTCCGGGGCTCCCGGGGAAAGGGGGGGGGGTGCGGATGGAGACCAGCAGAACCCAAAGCAAGGGAGAAAAGGTATAAGAGGGAGGGGGAGGCAAGAAAAACCAAGCGAGGAAATATTGGGGGGTTTGGCGGCCAATAGGGAAGAAGGAAGAATGCCACTTGGGGAAAAAAAGTGGCATGACATTGTCCCAAGTATAGGTCCTCAAGTCCCCTAAGCTGACAATTAGCAAGCTCCTTTTGGGATACCCATAATTCCCACCTATGAGCCCAGGGCAAAGGTTAGGGTGGATAAACAGGGCTAAGTGTGGCTCCCCGATCCCTGCCCCTATTAATTATTGCAGCAAAACCTCCTTGCCCACGTGGAAATGGCTGGGACAGGGCAGAAGGCGGCGGCTGGGCAGGCTGGCTCAGAGCTCAGGGGGGCAGGGGGTGGATTTGGCACATTGGCCCCCTCCTTCTAAGTGCTTCGGGGTCCTTCTCTCACATTCAGCCAGTCCTCCCTTGGGCCAGCAGAGGAGGGGCACAACTGGTCACCCCCCATTCCCAGTTTCTATGGATTTGCCCAGAAGGAGGCAAACGGGGTTGTCCCCAGCTGGTGGAATTTGGGGTGGGGGGATCTAAAGGGGGTTGGGGGAAAGGCTAGCTGAAAAGGAGAGTTCTTTTTTTTTTTTTCTTTTCCTTTTTTCTTACAAAGATTCTAAGAAAAATTCGGGGTGGGAAGGGCTGAGGAAGGAGGACCCGACACAGACTTTCTCAAAGCCTCCTGGGGGTCGTTCCCCGCCCCCCGAGTTGGTGGCCCTGTTCCTCTCCCATCAGCCCAAGGTCCACTCCTCCACCCCACCCCTGCTCCCCGGGGCGGCTCAGTTCCAGGGAAGTTTGGCACTTTTTTTTTTCTAAATGGGGGAAAGGGGCCAGAGAGAAGAGGAGGAAGACAGACTGGACAGATGACCATGGGAGCCACAGCGAGGAGGGACAGAAAGGCAGAGAGAGGGCAGAAGGTAGTGGAGGCTGGAGGGTGGCTGAGAGGGGCAGAAGGATGCAGCTGAAAGTAGCAAACACCAAGTACCTAGCAGGTGCCAACAGTAGGGTGCCAGGCAGCCGCTCAGACTCGCTGAGATCTGATTGGCCAGTGGGGAGGTGGGTGGGTGGGTCTTCAATAACTCCACCCCCTCCCGCCCCCAGATTAGTGTCCCCTCTGGACAAACTGTAGCAAAGAAGATTGAGGTCAGATTGTAGAAGGGACCATCAGGGGACAGAAAATATAGTAAAGTTTCCCCAGGGGAAACTTCCACAAGGGGAAAAGGGGATGTGGTTCCCCACTCAGCAATGTGGTGAGGGAGCTAGCTCACTGAGCTGCCTTTTGGATAGCCCTGGCTGGTGGGGGGGAGGGGAATGTCACACAAGACACCCCTCCTCAAAGGGGAACACTTTGCAGGAGGCCCAGCCTCTAGAGATGTTGTCTGTGGGATGGGGAGTGCTGGTCTTGGCTGATTGAGACCAAGCCACTTCCCTTCTCCTGTTATGGATTGGTTGATGGAAAGTGGCTACCAAGCTGAGGATGCAAATGATATGCAAATGACCCTTTCTATCCTAATCCCCTCCCTCTCCCAGACCTGGCCCCTCCCCACCTTCTTGGCTTCTGCCCCGGGCTCATGGGGGCCTGGGAGGTTGGAGGGGATAGTCCAGCTGGATACTATAATACTCAGCGTGCGCAGGGGGAGAGACCAGGAAAATACTGCAAGGTCTTTGGAAAGGAGGAGAGGAGCCATGGCCCATAGAGCCCCCTCAATCTCCGGCCCCAAGAGACCCAACTGTAGAAGATATGTACAAAGTTACATCAGGGATTGTTTTGGCACTCAAGATCTCCATCTGGATTCAGTCTGGAGATGAAGGGTGGGGGCAGCAGCAACGGGGCTGGGAGGCAGGGGAGTGGGGGACCTGTACCCCCAACCCCAGAGATGTTGAGGGCATGGAGAAAAGTCACCCCAGAGTCCAAGCTACAGCCTCCCCTCAGGTGGAAGGGTTGGGGTGGAGATTCAGTGCAAGGTACCTCGAAGGCTATTGCTTTCTAGGGAGTTTTCACATTTTGATTTCGGGGGTGGCTCTCTAGCGAGGGGTGAGGGTGGGTCTCCCAGGTTTTAGGGGTGGGATTTCCCCCAAAGCCATGGAGAAGATATGAGTCTGGAAGACCTAGGATGCAGGGTGGGGGAAACAGGTGGGAGAGAGGGGTGGGCACAGGGTGCCCTTCCCCCAGAGATGCTGATGATGGAGCCAGGGCGCCACAGCCTCCCTGCTGTGGAGGGAGAGTGGAGGTGGTCTCCAAGGGTGGAGGGGAGGGAAGGGAGAGGTTTCAACTATCCTAGTCTATAAGGGTTGTCAGGCCCTGCCATCTACCAACAGGGTCCTTAGCGCTGCCTCTGGCTATAGTGCCTGGCGAGCCACTCCCATACCAACTCTCAGCCGTGCCCAAGGCAGTCACACCAGAACACTTTGATCTGCCGATGCCACCCAAGCATGCCAGCTGGCAAGAAGCCACCAAGCCACTTGAGCCACAGACCACAGGAGGACCCGTAGCCATGGCTCATGGACCTGTGCCCCAGGCCCCCACTGGCCTAGTACAGTGATCAGTTTGGCTCACCAAATTCAATAAACAAAGCTATGTAGCCACAGGCCAACATGCGAGAGGCAGCGGGGACCTGGGGGGGTTCTGTGACCTCAATGCTCACTGCTCTATCTCCTGCCCCCAACACCCCAGAATTGGTGTGACAGCATGGAGAGGACCCCAATAGTATTTTTTCCCCTTAGAGTCCTCTAGATGATTCAAGTACCCCCCTCCCCCAACCAGGCCAACACTCAGCAAAAGGAGTGTGCCTGGAGAAGGGTGCCCACGACCTGTCACCACCTAGTCCAGATACGCATGCAGCCTCCCACTGACGTCACAGGACGTGAGGAGGAGGTGCCAGGAGTAACCACCAAGGGAGAGCACACAGGAGTACCTAGCTCTTGGGGCCACCAGAAATGACCTCAGGGAATCCCTGCTTCCGGTGATGTCACACGGAGCACCGGAAGCGCTTGGGAAAGTACTTGGTGACATCATACCAGGCACCCTCCTTTCTGTTTCTCTAGTCCCAGGAGCCGCGTGTCAACCTCTGGCAAGCGCCTGCCTCACAGCACTGACCCAGGCCTAGAGCTGGCTTCATTCCCAGTGGCCTGGTTCTGCTCCCCTCCCCACCCCACACACAGCCTGATGAGGAAAGAGTGAAAATCCACTGCCCCCAAGAAGGGGTGACTCCCGTGGTGGTGTTGGAGTGGGTAGGGAAGCTAAGAAAACCCGGGGACTTAGATTCCTGCACCAAAGGCCCTGTCCCAGCTCCCACTGCTGCCCTGGAATGGAAAGCCGAGAAGGTGGGGCGCTGTTTTTGTTGTTTTGGTGGGGGGAGCCCCTCATTCCAGGTGATGTAGAGGCTCCCTCCCCCTCCTCCCCAATAGAAATAAAAACTTCAAACAAAGGGCAGGGAGGAGGAATCCTTACCAAAAGAAAAAAAGAGAAAAAAAGAAAGAAAAAAAAAAAAGGAAAGAGGGGAGGGGAAGAGAAAAAAGTGGAGGGAAAGAAAGAGAAAATAACGCTTTGTTTTCTATTAAAATCAACAAAATGCAATATATACAGATATCACACAGACCTGGGCCCTGGGAGCGGAGGGGGAGGCCTGGCTAAGCCCAGGGAGGGAGGGAGGGCAGAAGGGGTCAGTTCCGGGCTGGGGAGGGGGCTTCTAGCCCTGCCCCCCAACCTCTGTCGCTCAATCCTGCCTATGACTACCAGAAAAGGGGGAGTGCAGTCGGCCTACCCCTGCCCCTGCCCCAGCCCCAGCCCCTGCCCCAGCCCCAGCCCCAGCGGCGCACCAGGATCCCAAGCTGAGGTCAGGAGCTGGGAGGAGGAGAGGGAGGAGGAGGAGAGAGGGAGGGAGGGAGGGAGGGAGGGAACACGCGCGCGCAGGCCTCATCCCACTTTTTGGGGGTTTGAGGCCCTCACCCCCTGCTCGTAGGTGACCCGCTGGCTGATGAGGTATTGAGCGGCTTGCGTGGCCGCGGGGCTGCCCGTGATGGTGACCCGCCGGTTCCGCGTGCCTGGCAGGAACTCGCCCTTCTTGGAGATTTGGATGCGGGCGCCTGTCAGCTCCTGGTACTCCACCAGCGTCTTGCCCCCTTTACCCAGGATGGCGCCCACCAGGTTCTCAGGCACCGCGATCTCCACCAGCTCCTTGGCGCTCTCGGCAGCCAGCTTCTCCGCCGTCAGGAAGCCCCCGGCTGCACCTGCTGCCGCGGCGGCTGCCACCAGCGGGCCCCCTCCGCCGCCGGCGGCGCCGCCGGCCCCGGCTCCGAGGTAGCCGTTAGCGGCCGCGGCCAAGGCAAAGGACCCCAGGGCTCCAGGGGGCGGGGGTGGCGGCGGGGCAGCTCCTCCCGCTGGCCCGGCCCCCGCCTCACCCGCGTAAGAGGCTAGCAGGTTGGCGGCCGCGGCCGCGGCGGGGCTGGCACCTGCGGCCACGGCCGCCAGGACGCCCGAGGCGGCGGCCGAGTTGAGGCCCAGGCCCAGGGAGTTGGTGTTGTAGCCGTAGCTGGCTAGCGTGTTGAGCGCCGTGCTGATGGCCAGCAGGTCGGTGCCTGAGAAGGCGGGCAGGGCTGCGGGGAAGGCGCCCACTCCGGCCAAGCCGGCGGGGCCCAGCAAGCCAGAGGCGGCGGCGGCTGATGCGGCGGCGGCAGCAGCGGGCAGCACGTCGGCTGGGCTGGCGTACGGTGAACCGGTGGGGTTGGAGTTAGCCACGGGGCCAGCTACGTTGGCGTAGCTGATGTTGAGGCAGCTGCTGCTCTGGGGGTCTTCCTGTACCTTCTGCACGATGGCGCTCACGGCCTTGTGCACCTGTTCCGGTTCGCCGCTGACCGTCACCACACGCTCCTGGAGGTTGATGCCCTCGGGCTTCTGGGACAGCTGCACCCACGCACCGGACTGCTCCATGACGGCCTTCACCGTTGCGCCCCCCTTACCGATGATGAGGCCGGCCGTGCTGTTGGGGACAATCAGCTTGGCCTGCGAGGGGAGCAAGAGAGAAGCTTTTTACGGTGGCCATCTTGAGGTCGTAGCAGGGGAGGGCACCTCCTGGTTGGTGTACAAAGCCAGACCCAGCTTACCTATTGGCATACAGCAAGTGTCCCCGCCACCCTTCCCCCCCTCCCCCCGGGGTTGTACAAAGTTGGTACAGTGGAAAGGAATTAGTCAAACTTGTTACAGTAAGATGGGAGTTGGTCATAGTGGTTGACACACTCTTTAGGATGCCCACATCTCTTCCTCTGCTTCTGATTCAACTGCCAGCTAAACTGCCCCCTGGGAGCCCTGGGATGGCTCAGGGCTTTAAGTCCTTGTCATGCATGTGGGGAAACTGGAATTGAGTTCTGGGCAACTGGCTTTGTCTTGCCCCAGCCATGACCACTGCAATCATTTGGGGAGTGAACTCAGCAGACAGAAGGTCTCTCTCTGTATATAGATCTCTCCTCCTCTCTTTTGCTGTGACTGCCTTTCAAATTAATTAATTAATTAATTAAAAAGAACACATTAGAAATATTGAAGTGTTTCCTCAGTGGATGATAAATGAACAGCTAATATTCTGGATCTTTTCAGTAGCCCTTTAGCACACTTGGTCCCATGTGCTCCAAATTCCCAGTATCTCCCCTGCATCCAATGGCTGAACCAATGGGCTCTACTAGGATCCTGCTTCCAGCTTGCACGTGTCCTTGCCTTGCCCTGTCCCATAACCCCAGCTGACTCTTCACTATTCTCACGTTGAGGTCCAAGAAATGCAAAAAGAACTTGGTCTAAGCTCATCCTGATAGTGAAGGAGCTAAAACTCAGTCTCTTGAATTCCTGCTGCACTGGCCTCTCCCACTCTGCGATGTGGATCTCCCACCGAACCCCTCCCTCTCTTTGTCTTTGGATATGGGGAGGAATTGGATCCTGCTCACATCTCCAAGTTGTAGTTCTAACCCCCAATGCTCAGAGTCTGACTGTGTTTGCAGATAATTAGGTTAGAATGAAACCATGACAGTGAGACCTTAATCCACTGTGAGTGGTGACCTTAGATGAGGACAAGACACACATACAGGGAAGAGCATGTGGGGACATGGGATGAAGGCAGCTTGTACATACGCCCAGGCTCCCGTGTCGGCTGGTCACCAGCCAGTTCGGGGTATGAACCTGGCTGAAGACAGACAGCAGCATCAACACCTTCTGCCTGAAAAGGCAGGTGTTAAATGTCTCCAAGACAAGAAGAGTGCTCACTTACTAACACCACAGTCTTACCCTTCGACCACCCGCCTGTCTCGAGCAGCTACAAATCTGGTCATCTTTTAGATTGATGTGTTGGAGAGAGACAGAAAAGATTCTTGTCCCAGGTTCATTCCCCAAATTCCCACAATAGTAGGGGCTGAAGTCAGGAGCTAGAAACTCATTCCAGGCCTCCCACGTGGAGAGGGGCAATGCAATTCTTTGAGCCATCCCTGCTGCCTTCCAGGGTCCCCAAGAATGGGGAGTTATAGTCAAGTGCCAGAGCCAGGGATTCTTACTACGGAGCGAAGGCATCTTACCCACTAGGCTAAAGACTCCCCTCCAACCGGATCAACTTTAATTCCAGCGGGAGATATTTTAAAACTCATTGGCTCCTTTAACTTTTCCGGGAGCATTTCAACGCATCAATTCCCCCCTTAAGACCCCCAACTCAGACCTGTAACTTGAGCCACCGTCTGTCCTCTCTATATCCAAGTACCCTCTAGGTATATCGGGGTGGGACGGAGGTGGGGTAAGAAATTTGTGAGTCCAATTTTGGTTGCTGCAAAGACTAGGGGGGAGATGTGAACACAGATTGGCTACAGGGGACTGCATCCCAGGACCGAGAGGAGTTGTCACAACGAAGAGGTGTGCCAGGTCCCATACAACTGCGATACCCTGGACAGTGATGTTGCAGACAGCTAGATTTCTGAGCCTGGAACAGAATCAATTCCTCTTCTTCTTATTGTTGTTGCTTGATGTTAAAACCTACTGTAATGTCCAAGAATGACGCTATCAGTGGACCAAGGCAAGCCCATACTTTGCCTAGTTCTGAATCTGCCCAGAAGCTGTCATCATTTCAGAAAACTTCAACATCAGCATTAGTGTAAAGTTTCCATCATTGTGCATTGTAGCTGTTTCCCTTAGCCAGGTTAAGGTGCAGGAAGCCAACTATTTCCTTGTTTCTTCTACTCTTTTGTATATTACAGTTCATCTTATTTAGGACAGGTGCTTCCAGTTCCAGCTTGCTGCTAATGCACACCCTGGAAGGCAGCCAGGTGATGGCCCAAGAGGCAGGGTCCCTGCCTCCCATGTGGCAGACCTGGATGGAGTTCCTGGCGCCCAGCCTTGGCCCCCAGCCATCAAGGGCATTGGGGAGAATGAACTAGCAGATGGGCACTCTTTCTCTGTCCCTGTCTGACTCTCAAATATAAATGTATAAATCATCTTATAGCTAGTCACCTTCCTTTTCTACATTATTAAAAAAAAAGTTTCATGGATAAAGAAAGCGTGGCATAGCCGCACAATGGAGCATTATTTGGCAACACATTTAAATGAATCAAATCCTGACATGATACACACTGCAAACACAAGTGAACCCAGAGAATATTCCATCCACCACAGAAAGCCGCATCCATTTACACAAATGCTCAGAAATACACAGAGACAAAGTGAAAAAGTGGTTACCAGGAGATGGGAGAGGACAGAGGTTGATAAAGTGCGGAGTTGTCTTGGGAGAGATAATGGAGATTTTCTATCAGCTGCTGCGAGGGATGCAAAACTCTGAACACAGTAAAATCTATGGTGAAGGACCCATATGTCAAAGCGATCTCAATAAAACAATCCAGGACTGGTGTGGTAGCCTAGCGGCTCAAGTCCTCACCTTGCATGTGCTGGGATCCCAAATGGGTGCCAATTCGTGTCCCAGCTGTTCCACTTCCCATCCAGCTCCCTGCCTGTGACCTGGGAAAGCAGTCAAGGACAGCCCAAAGCCTTGGGACACTGCACCCAAATGGGAGAGCTGGAAGAAGCTCCTGGCTTCTGGTTTCAGATCAGTTAGGCTCCGGCCATTGTGGCCACTTGGGGAGTGAATCAGTGGATGGAAGATCTTCCTCTGTGTCTCTCCTCCTCTCTGCATATCTGACTTTCCAATAAAAAAAAAATTAAAATGGTTGGAAGGCTTAGGGATGTAGGTTTGTTTTATTTTTATTTATTAATTTATTTTTTTGCAAAGTTAGATATATTATAGAGAGGAGGAGAGAAAGAAATGTCTTCAGTTTGATGATCCACTCCTCAAGTGACTGCAATGGCTGGTGCTGTGCTGATCCAAAGCCAGGAGCTCTTCTTGATCTCCCATGTGGGTGCAGGGTCCCAAGGCTTTGGGCTGTCCTCAGCTATTTCCCCAGGCCACAAGCTGGATGGGAAGTGAGGCTGCTGGGATTAGAACTGGCGCTCATATGGGATCCCAGAGCATTCAAGGTGAGGACTGGGCCTGGCACGATGGCGCAGTAGTTAAGGTCCTCGTCTCGCACGCCCGGGATCCCATATGGGCGCCGGTTCTAATCCTGGCAACCCCGCTTCCCATCCAGCTCCCTGCCTGTGGCCCAGGAAGGCAGTTGAGGACGGCCCAAGGCTTTGGGACCCTGCACCCACGTGGGAGACCTGGAAGAGGCTCCTGGCTTCGGATCTGTGTAGCATCGACCGTTGCTCTCACTTGGGGAGTGAATCATCGGAAGGAAGATCTTCCTCTCTGTCTCTCCTCTCTGTATATTCGCCTTTCCAATAAAAATAAAATAAGTCTTTAAAAAAAAAAAACGGAGAGGACTTTGACCACTAGGCCTTGGCGCCAGGCCCTGTAGGTTTGCTTTATGCATGGCCCAGGGAAGTCCTTGTCAATTATCACAGCCTCTCTCCCCACACATATGCAATGGGCGCGTGGTCTGGTGGGTGGTCTGTAAGATCCTAGTGACTGGCACCGTAGCAAGCCCTTGGTCCCTGCAGAGTACTGGTTTATACAGAGGGAAAGCTGCAAATCCTAGTTTCCTGTGAACTGGCAAATGTTTCTAACTATTGTATGCCTTCGTTGTCCTTGCTTCTACATGAACACCACCGTGGTTCACCTGGCTGGTTATTCAACTGAAGCATCGCCTGCACCACCTCACACCCCAGAATCCCAGCGTCCCACAATGACACAACAGGTAGAATCACAGACTAAAACACGCCCAGACTCTTACAATCCTAGAGCCACAGCACTGCTCAGAAAGACCCGAGATGACCACACCAGGAGACTTGCGGAAACTGTCAAATATTAAAACAACAACAAAGCCCCCGACGGCTAACACAGTGCAGGCCACATCCCCAGGCACTTTGTCCCCACAACCTCTTGACAAAGGCACTGTTACGACCCTGTTTTCCAGGCTAGGAAATGGAGGCAGCAAGTAAACAAGTTGAGTCAGGTCACACAGGTAGTGGCTAATAGAGTCAGGATCCATCAGAGATTTTCTCTCCGAAATTTCGATTCAGTGTTTTCAGGCTGCAACCCAAGAGTCTGGATTTAAGCTAGGGATGAAGATCGGCTGATCTAGCCTAGATACTCAAAGTTGTGATCCCCAGGCCACTGACAGCCTATTTGTTTGAACTTTGTAGTGTTTTAAAAACTGAGCTGGGGGCTTGTCATGGTACAGCCACCTGTAACAGCTGCATCCATGTGAGCACTGAGAGAAGTCCTGGCTACTCTACTTCCCATCCAGCTTCCTGCTAATATGCCTGGGAAAGCCACAGAAGATGGCCAAAGTCTGTGGGCCACTATACTTATGTGGGAGACCTGGAAGAAGCTCCTGGCTCCAGACTGGCTCAGCTCTGGCCACTGCAACCATTCAGGGGGAGTGAACCAATGGGTGGGAGATCTCTCTCCCTCTCTCTCTGTAAAATCTGCCTTTCAAATAAAAATAATCTTGAAAAAAGAAACAACAACAAGAGCTAAAAATTGCTGATAACTTCCCGTGCAGCAGGCATACACACCAAGTACTTTTCAAACATCACTGACTATTAACCGCCATCCGTATGTAGGTACCATAAGTAATCTCATGTTCCAAATTTCTAAGTAAGGCCTGGAGAAACCAAGACTTGTGCGTAAGGTCACCCAGGAAGTTCAGTAGGATTCTACTCCACAGCTGACTCTCTCTTTCTTTGGACCCTCTGAATCATAAGGCATAGGGTAAACCCTGGTTCTATTTCTTGTTCATGGAACTGTCTCAGAGGTCCTGTGGACAGGCTCAGGAACCGATGCTGGTGCCGATCCCATTTCCCCTGCAACATCCACAAACCCTTGCCAAACCCGGAGTCCCTGGAGGCCACGAAAGAGGCGGAGGAAGCGCAGATGCCCTCGCCTTGGTGTCCATGGTGGGAACACCTTGGGCAGATCTGTGGGGCGCCAGCAAAGGAGCGGCTTCAGCACCAAGGACAGCGGCCGCGCTCCGCGCCCCGAGCTCGTGCGGCTTTGGGGTGGGCTATCGAGGATTCCTGAACGTGGGGGAAACTGAGGCCTGTGTAGTGTCCGTCTCACCTCGGGGCGGCGACAGAACTCGAGAATCCCTGATTCCTCGGGACCTGTCTCTAGGTGCTAGACATTCAGGAAGCCTTGCTGACCCAGGCCCCTTTCGCCTCGAGCGCTCGAGTATTTTGGGGGAGGATTTAGGGGCAAAGGCGAAGGGCACAGAAGCCCCGTGCTCCCCTGACGCGGTCAGCATCACACGCGCCCGCGCAAGCACGGCCGGAGGTTCCGTCCCGAGGACACCTGCTCCGGTGCGCGCCGTCGTCATGGCAACCGCAAGGCCCAGAATGCCATTGGCTAGCTGCCCCAGGCCACGCCCCTTCCGTCCCGCCTTCCTCCCACCACCCTGAACCAGGGTAACAAAAGATGCTGCCCTTTTCCCTTCCTTTGCTTCCTACCGAGGTGCTGAGGAGGAGAGGCCCCGTGGGGACGAAGGGTGGAGGAAGGAGAAAAGAACGCCCCTGGTTAAACCCTGGGACGAGGCTGAGCAGTTGCTGAGGTCACTTCCGATGAGAGCAGGAAATGGGAGGCAGGTTGCTGGGAAACACAAGAGGGATGAAGTGGAAAGGAGAGGAAGGATGGCTGAGCAGGGAGTTTAGGTCACAGTCCTCGAGACCTTCTCCTTTTTTATGAATCAGGCCCTCTCCCTGGGGTCTGGAGGCTTAGAGGAGCTAACGGAGCTCCTAGCCTTTCGTATGTATTCATTAAAAAAAACACAACACTTTTACTCAGGTCGGTGGGCATTCAGCTTTGTGAGACAAAACCCCAGCCCCACACCACCGCACATGGGTCCAGCTCCTGGTCCCAGCTTCCTGCTCATGAGTACCCAAAAGGGCAGGCAGGGTTTGTGCCTCCCAGGAGGGAGCCCGGGGTAGAATTTCTGGCTCCTCCTTCCTTCTGCTCCACACTGGCCCTGGCTGGGGCTAGCACTGGGGGAATGTGAACCATCGAGATGGGAGTGGTCTTTTCTCTCTCTTTCCTTGGAGTCAGTCACAACAGCGTGTCCTGGCATTTGTCCTGGTCACGCACACCCGTGGAGTTGGAGGCGGGGTGAGGTGTGGGAAGTGGGTGTTGGCTGGGACTTAGGCAGCCCCACTCCCTGTCCTCCTGCCGAGCTGACCTGTTTGGCTCTGTCAGGGTTCATCGTGGTTTGGGGTTGAAGAATGTTGACCACTTCAGGCTTGGTCATCGCTTGTGGGATTTCTCGAACCTTCTCGGCAATAAAGCTGTGCACAGCGTTCAAGGCCTCGGCCGTGCCCTGTACTAGACATACCCGTTCTGTGGTTCCTGTGGAGTAAGGGAAAGAGGATGAGCATTCTTCATCAGGCAGGAATGAGGCCCCCCCACAACTCCGCCTTCAAACCAGAGAGATGGGAGGAGATGGGAGGATGCCTCAGTGCCTTGTGCTGTCTACCAGCGGCACTGGGCAGGGGGAGCCAGGGCTCAGCTGCCTCTTCCCCGTTCTTGCTGGCTCCCTGGTTACCTTGGCAACCATTCACTCACAGCTCTCCTCCCTCCCTCCTCCCCCTCAGCCCCAACCCCTTCTAGAAGCCCAAGAGCTCAGGCCTGCACTGGTTGCCACAGTAACTGGAACCCCCTTATCGGTCTGGCTGGCCGGGTCCTCAGCCCACCCCCAGGGGGACGAGGGACGAAGCCCTGTTGCTATGGCAACCCCATGAAAGCCTGCAGCGAAGGCCTCTAGGCTTTTGGAGAGGATGGGGAAGGGTTGGGGGATGGGGGAGGCAGAAGAGAGAGGCCCGAGTGTCTTGCCCAGACCCACCAGATGGAAGGCTGAGGAGGGCGGGGGAGGGCAGGGGAGGGCAGGGGAGTGGACCGGGTGAGTAGGCAGGGGCTGGGTGGGTCAAAGGCAACTCCCTTGTAGAGTGGGGACTGAGGGACTGGGAGAGAAGGGCGGGGTGGGCCATCCTGTGGCTGGACAGTCTCCAGATCCAGTCCACGGCTGTACCCTGGGCATCCTCCTATGGGCCAGGATTGGGGACCTAGGCTAGTGTGTTGGGATGTATACCTGGGAGAGAGATTCGGTATGCCACTGTGCCCAGAATGCGACTCCATGAGATTGTATGAGTGCAGCATGTGTGTGTGTGTGTGTACTTGGGCAGCCCAGCTTTGCGTGTGGGGAAGACCTCGGTGCCATGGCCAGGGTCCTATTTGTGAGACCTAGTTGAGTGTGCCGAGGGGTCGGAGGGAACAAAGAATCCCACCGAGTGGCTGGGAGGTGTCCGGGGAATGAGATTGTAGTGTGTTTGTGTTCGCGCACAGGTGTGAGTGAAAACGGACAGTCAGCCTTATTTCTGGTGTTGCCAAGACTCTGTAGTGAGAGCTGTGTGTGTGAGTACAGGCGTGAGTGAAAAGTGACAGCCTCATTTTAGGGTGTCACTAAGACTCTAGGGTGGGAGCTATGTGTATGTGTGTGTGTGTGTATGAGACAAGCCTCTTTGGTGTGTTTGAGCATGAGGGGAGAGGGGGACAGCAAATTCAATTGAAGTTGGACGGAATGCAAGATGGTAAATGTGTACGTGTACTACTGCAAGACAAAGACCACTTGGCCGTGGGTGGCTGAGGTGAGAAGGCAAGCGCCTTGGCCAAGCCAGGGCTGTGCCAGGTGCCTCTGTGTCCCTGTCCCTGCCTGGGCCCCTGTCTGCAGGCCCCACTCACCTCCTTGGGTCTGTGCAAAGTCCTGTGAGGGTACAGACTGCACGTGCCAGCCTGCCCATCCAGGACCCCTGGCTGGGCTGTCATCTCCCAGTCCTGCCACTTGTCTCAGTGTCCCTAACAGTCCCCACCCGCCTTGGGCCAGGAGCCTCACTCTTACCTCCCTTCCCCTCCCCGCCCCCAACAATGCTTTGGTCTGGGCCAAGGGTGAGTCAGCGTGCAGGCTGCCTTCATGTGGGTGTAAATAGGAAAGGGTGTGGGTTGGACTGGGAACCGAGGGACAGGAGGGAGGAGGGGACACCCCTCACAGAGAGACCGGCCCAGGGCCAGCGGCCTTCCAACTCTAGAAGTCTCAGACTCCTCTCCTGCTCCCACCACACACACCTTCCCTGGGGACCCACCGGGGGTGCTGATGGGAAGAGAAAAGAGTTAAGAGTCCTTAACTCAAGGACAACAGCTGGCAGTTATGCAACATGGAGCACAGACTTGTTCTAAGCTCTTCCCGGATTTCTGCTCACCTTCTTTCCCGTGGTGGCCGTTACTACTGCCGTCCACCTGCTACCAACACTGACACCCAGACAGAGCCTAGACTTGTCTGGGCTCGCTCAGCCAGCCGCAGGATACCTTCAGGATTTGGAACCCAGGTGTCTGGTGCAAGACACCTGTGTTCCTTGCCACCATGACATCCTTTGCTGAATTTGGGGGTCCATGGATGTGTGTTGGAGAGGACAGCTAAAGATTTCAGGGTTTTGTTTATTCCTTTTTGGTATTTTTGATATTAAGGAAGAATCTATGCCAAGGCAGGTGAGCCATCTCTTGAGTCTACACGCAGCATCAAGTGTCTTATAAATCAATGAAAATGCAGAAAACCAACCAACAGCATCTCCTTGGCTTTTTTTTTTTTTTTGTGGGGGTAGGGAGGGTCAGGGATTTGTTCAATATAAGAAGGGACTTCACTGAGTAGGGGATGGGGAGCCTGGGCAGACGTGGGATACATAACTCCTCTTTTTGTACCACAGTACTCCAAGCCCGACCTAAAAGGGTTGAGATGGGGCTTTGGGGTCCACCAGTCAGTATATGTGCTGCTGAAGCGAGCACAAGGGGTCCACCAGTCAGAAGGGGACTCCTTCTGTGTGTCCTGCCCCTCCTTGGGGTTTGCATCTGTTCATGGCATGCACCCAAGTGCAGTCTGTGGGAGCCCCTCCCTATAGCCTCCGCATGTCTCCCGTCTCCCCTGCCTGCTACCCTTCAGTTACATCAAAAAATTGCTCCCCAGCCGCCAGACATAGTGGACTGACTTCCAGGAGCCTCCATCCTGTGCTTCACCTAGCTCTGTCCTGTCCAGCTGAGCTTTTCCTCCAGGAAGCCCTTCTGACTGCCCTGCCTGAATGCCCGTCCTCTGAGCTATCCACTGCTCGCACACTGACCACTCCGGGTTTATCACCATCCGTCCGCACACCTGGACTAAGTCACCTGTCCCCATCTTTGCCTCCCCACACAGGGCCGTTTCCTGCGTGGCTCAACAGCTTGAGGAATGGGACCAGGATGGAGGAGGCTATGGCCTGCACCTGAGTCTGGATCAGCCACAGGCTGACAAACTTACACCTTTCAGGAGAGGCAGGAGAGCCTGGGATCAGGGTGGTGGTGTCCACGGAGACCCTGGCTCTGGCACTTGCCTGATTGACACTCAGCCTGAGAGAATAACTGGGCACTACCACTCCCATCCTCCAGGTTTCTCAGCCGCCTGCCCTGAGGGGGCGGGTCTCTGAGTTGGGGCAGGGACAGGAGGGAATGATGTGGCTCACGGCACAGAATGTGATCCAGGGGCAAGGGACCAAGTGTCCTCAGATGAACGTCCCTGCCAGAGAGGTGTCTTGTGGGCTCTGGGGGTGCGGGGCAAACTGGGCCAGGGTGGCAGAGAAAAGGAGGGCATGAGCCTGGGTCACTAGAATGTTCTCTAAACCCCTTGCCAAAGCTGCTTAGTGTGATGAGAGGCAGGGAGTGGGAGGGGTGGATGTAGAAACAAGAGGGAGGGAGGAGTAGGGAGAGAGTAAGAGAGAGAGAGAGAGGGAGGGAGGGAGAAAGTGCATCCTGACCCTGCGTGCACCAGCTCTGGTGTTTGACCTAAAAAGATCCCAGGGGATTAAGAAGCAACTAGAGCCAGTGCTGGACCACAGATGTGATTCCAGGGAGCATCCTGGGTTCCCACATGTGGATGCTCAGACATTGGTCTTGGGAGGGTGAGAGATACTGAGAGAGACTACAGCGAGTATTGGGGGAGGGAAGAGATGGAAGCAAGAATGGTCTGGGTTTAGAGGGCAGAAAATCAAAACAACAAAACAGCAAGGGGGGCTGAGATCCGAGGCCGAGGAGGGCAAGCAAAGGCCAGGGCTGGGCTTGGGCAGGGCAGGGAAGGACCGTGCTCCCCAGGACAGGGGCAGAGTAGTAGCCAGGGGCTGACCAGGATGAGGTTTGAAGAGAGAGGGAGGCTCTGAGAAGTGGAAGGAAGAGAAAGGAGGAGGGAGGAGGGCGACAGTCCGGGAAGGAAAGAGGAGAGGGAAGGCAGACAGACGGATGGACAGATGGGCTTGGAGGCCAGGAGGCCATGAGGCTGAGCGAGATCAGAACAGAACCAAGAGCCAAGCAGAAAGAGGAGCAGGCAGAGAGAGGCTGGCGAGAATGGGAGCTGACAAAGTCAGAAACGGACCAAGGCAGAGACACTGGAGGAATCAGAGAGAAGAAAACCAGTGGGACCAAGACTGGGCAAGTAGTGGGGACAGAAATCCAGAAAGAGTTGTTCTGGGGAGGGGAAGGTGCTGTAACATGGACAGTTGGTCCCTAAGCTCAGAGAGGATCCCCTGGCACCTGCCTTCGCTGCCCACCCCCCTCCCAGCTTCTCCAGCTGACCCGAGGGGGCAGGTGTGTGGGAAGGGGACACATCTGCCAGCACACCATGCAAATGAGCTCATGAATATGCAGCAGGCCCATTGTCTTGCCCTGCCCCCACCCCCATCTGCTCAGCCAGGCCCCTCCAGCTGGGGGCAGCTCTGTCTCCCTTAGGGGGAAGCCATCTTACCCTCCTTTCCCTTACCTGCCCCCCACTTTCACTGCCCCTCTAGGGCAGCCCTTCCCCCTCTGCCAGGATGCAGATGGGAGGGGCTACAGGGAGGACAGGTCCAGGGCAGAGACCTGGGGCGGGCCTCACCGGGATAGAAATCTTTGGACTTGGAGAGCTTGATGGTGGCTCCCGTCTCCTTCTGCAGCTGCACGATGGTCTGCCCGCCCTTGCCAATGATGGAGCCCGCTGCGTAGCTGGGGATCAGCACCTTCAGGAAATATTCGCCTTCCTCTGCAGGAGTACACAGGGCAGAAGAGGGTCAGGTGGGGCGTCTGTGTGTGCACTTGCACGGCGGGGTTTGGTCTTCACCTTTGGAGTGCACCAAGCTGGAAGATGGGCACAAAGAACGGCCCTCTCTTCCTCCTTCCCCCTGTGCCCCAGCACTTGCTCCATGTGCCTGACCCGGCAGCTATGGATACAGCCAACAAGAAAAACAGGCAAAGCTGCTTGATTTCACCAGCCAAGGAAGCATATAAGACCCAGAGAAACTTAACAAGTCACCCCGGGCAGGGTTCACCCTGATCCACTCTGCGACACTGGGGAGAGACAGACAATGCAACTGATGTCAGATGCTGGGAGGCCTAAGTGAACACAAAGAGGCAGGATGTGAGATGTGGTAAAGCGACGGCCAGCGTCAGAGGGAGGGTGGCACTGCTCACCCCCACGGCGCACCGCACCTGACACAAACCATGTTCTGGGACTCCACTAACACTGCTCTTCGCACGAGGCTTTCACGGGGGCACTCCCAGGAAGTGTTTTACCAAAGAGAGGGAGAGGGCCTGGTGTGGTGACCTAGTGGCTAAAGTCCTCGCCTTGAACGCGCCGGGATCCGATATGGGCACCAGTTCTAGTCCTGGCAGCTCTGCTTCCCATCCAGCCTCCCTGCTCGTGGCCTGGGAAGGCAGTGGAAGCGGCCCAAAGCCTTGGGATCCTACATCCGCGTGGGAGACCTGGAAGAAGTTCCTGGATCCTGGCTTCGGACTGGCTCAGCTGCGACCGTTGCGGTCGCTTGGGGAGTGAATCATTGGATGGAGGATCTTCCTCTCTGTCTCTCCTCCTCTCTGTATATGTGAATTTCCAATAAAAATAAAATAAATCTTAAAAAAAAAGAGGGAGAAAAGGTGAAGAACTCTCCCACCATTTGTTGGGGCTAGCAGCAGCCTGAGCTGCCATTGAGCCCGACGTGGGCAGGGGCACATGAGACTTGTGGCAGGAAGAGTGAGAGGCTTGTGTGTCAGGGCTGAGTGAGGGAGCAAGCACAGTCTGGGAGGTGAGGAGGGGAGCGAAGGGGATGGGGAGTTAGGGATTTGACATTGAAGGGCCTTGACTTTGGCCCCTGGTAAATTGGCAGAGCTGGGGACCCTGGGGCGAAGTGCGAGGGTGGGGAGGTGGCTGCAGCCTGGGTGGGCAGGTGGAGGCAGGCTGGTCACCGCCACCACCACCCCTGCCAGAAGTGTTGTCATCGCCAGCCATTACTCAGCCAATTAGAACGAGCTCTACTTTCCCCGCGACAGGAGACTGAGACCCAGAGAAAGCACCATCCTAGATTGATGTTTAAAGCTGATTCCAATCTCTTTCCACTCTTCCTGCTGGTGGCGAAAGACTGACAAGTCCCAGAGCAGCCTTGGACCTGGAGGCAGTGTCCATGGTGGTTTGTGCAGCCTCGGGCTTTACCCTGCAACCTCCTGGCAAGGCCCTAGCCTCTCTACCCTCTAACCAACCTAATTGCCCTTTTATGTGCCCAAGGTAGGCGTTCTAGAGACTTCTCAACCCTTTGCCATTGGCTCCGCCCACTGTTAAAACAGTTTCGGTAGCTTTCGACCTCCCCAATCTTGTTCCCAAAAAAGTTCCCACTAATCACCCAGGGCCTTTGCAAATGCTGTCTGGCCTGGCATTGCCTTCCCCTCACCCTGAAACTCCCTTTGCCCTGTAGGTCCCCAACCAATGCTGCAACGTCTTGGGGAGCTTTCATTAAACCTTGGACTGGGATGGAACCCCCCACTGCAAGCCTTCAGAGCCACTTATCCCAGGGTCTCGCTGTGGGCCACTGTCCATAGAGCTGACCACGTGCCCCTGGGGCTCATCAGCACTCCTGGCAGAGGAGCGACAGGCCTTGGGCAAAACAGGGGGAGGAGCCAACCTGAAACCACACCCCCAGGATTTGCCAACTTTCTCTTTCAAGCAAAGGAAGCCTTAAAGAAGAGAGAAGGAAGAGAGAAGTCTGCTCAGGTTGAAATGAGCGGTGGGGAGGCCCCCCTACACCTCTGCCTGGCCTCTTCCCTTGAAAAGTTCTGGGCTCTTTGATGTGGTGTGCAGCGGAGAGGCTGGGGAAGGGGGTTCAGACTTAAGGGGCTTCTCCAAGCTCAAGACAATCCTCTTAAAACTTACCTAATCAGTCCATTAAGCCTATTAAGTCGTTAACCCCCCCCCCAGGGGGCCTCCCCATCCATCATCCTGCCCTCTCCTCCCTGCGGGGTCCCCGCTCCCCATCCCTACCCCTACACCAGGTTCAGAGATGGGACTCTTTATGCCTGGAAGGCTCAGAAAGATGGGGAGAGACTCCTCACTAAGCCTTGGCACTCCATCCCCTCTCTCCTTCTCCAAGCCGCTTCCTTCTCGGGAATTGGAGGCGTTTGGGGTCTCTGAAGATAGCCGGAGAAGGCTCCTCCCCATCGGCTGCTCCTCTCCCTCGCACCTCCTCCAGCTTTGTCTAAGAATTTCCATATGGGCAGCCTCAGTTTGCTTATCTGGCCACTGGGACGCATGTGGCAGTCAGGCAAGGTGACTGTGATCACAGGAAACATGTAGGCAACCAAGGATGGCTCAAGGCAGAAGTGGCAGACACCAGAGCTGTCACTGTCAACAGAGGAGTCCAGCAGTGTGCTGTGAACCAGGGGAGAAAAGCCTAAGAATTGGGGTTTTGGCAGCCAGCAGGATGGCTCAACTGACTAATTATCTGCCTTGCACGTGCCAACATCCCATATAGGTCCTGGTTCATGTCCCAGCTGCTCCACTTCCCTTCCAGCTTGTGGCCTGGGATGGCCCAAAGCCTTGGGACCCTGCACCCATGTGGGAGACCTGGAAGAAGCTCCTGGCTCCTGGCTTCAGATTGGATCAACTCTGGCTGTTACAGCCACTTGGGGAGAGAACCAGTGGACAGAAGAGCTTTGTCTCTCCTTCTCTCTGTAAATACTGCCTTTCCAAAAAAAAAAAAAAAAAAAAGTAATAAATCTTAAAAAAAAAATTGGGGGTTTTTGTTGAGGAGGTAAGAGTGTCAATCACCCTGCTCGAGCTCTCCCCCAACCCTGGCTTGGTCTGAGCAGCCTCAGATCCCTCTGTCTCCACCCTCATCCCTTCTCCTTTCTTTCCCCACTCTCTTCCCTCCTTCTTCTAAGCCAACACTTCCTGAAGCCCCCACTCTGCACCAGCCTGGGTGTGAGGATCAAGGACACAGGAGGGACCCTTCCAGGCAAAGCCCATCTCCTTGACATTCCTTAGCTACCCAAACGTTTCTGTGCGAAGTGAACGCCTCACAATCACGGCTGATAACTGCCTCCTTCTCCACACAGGAATGTCAGAGAGGAAAAGCAGCTTGGGGGTCTCAGCATCCCCTCCAACAGCTTCCACCCTGGGGTGCTCAGTGGTCCCCCCACCCCTCTTCAGGTGGTCCTCCTAGGAAATATGACCTCCCACCTGCAAAAACTCTGCTCGGAGCCTTTGCAGAATCTTCCTTCTTGTTGAGGGGGGAGATGAGCCCCTCCCCAAAGAAGAAGTAAAACCCCTATTTCCCAGCCTGCCTTGTGGCTGGGACAGCCACAAGACCTCAGCTGAACGCAGAGCCCCAAGACGTTACACAGCTCCCCTCTACTCCACGCCCTGCTGGAACCACCCCTGCCCTGCCTGCAACAAGGGTCTTCCCTTGGGGACTCCAGCTCCTTCTCCTGGCAATGCTGAGGATGGCCCCTGGAAGCCTGCCCACGAGTCTGCTTCCCTCTTGTTAATAGTTCCAGCACCCCCACCTCATCAAGGAGTAGTCTTTCCCTCCCAGTCCCTTGGCCTTCCCCATGGCCTTAGCGCCCACCTGCCTCAGGGAGGTTTCTGGGAAGCTTCTGAAGCTCAACCAGCCCCTCCCCGCCAGCCATAAATAACATCTGTTTCTGCAGATTTGTAGTAAGAGTGTGGCCCATTTCACTGTTAGCACGCGTCATCCCTGGAAAGTGGCTGGCTTGGCCCTGGGCGATCATGAATGACCACAGCAGAGCAGAAGGCACGTGTGCTGTGGGCGTGTCTGTCATTGGGAGCCTAGAGGGAGCGCCACAGCTGGGGTGGTCCTTGGGACCCAGTGCTGTGGGAGATGAGAGGGGACGAGGAGGCTGGGAGGTGATGCTGGTGCTGTCACCGGGATGTGAGGGTGCGGGGTGAGGCTGCTGAGGAGGAGGTGGGGGTGGGGGCGTCAGGTGTGTGACGTCCTTCCACCAACGCTGGCCTTGGCTGTCTGGGTGAGAACCAGTGCGTGTTCTAGGAGGGGGTTGGGGGGGGTAGGTGTGATGGCTCTGGCTCAGTTGGTTGTGACCGTCTGAGCGAGGGGAAGTTCCCTGTAATGAATCACCAGGGACGGTGAGAATGGGACGGGCCAGTGTGGTGAGGGGAGCGATGATGACGCCGGTGCCTGCTGAGTGCTGGGCGCCAGCGCTCATGCCCTGGGCTGCACAGACACGATCGATCGCACCCGGCAGCCCAGACAGGTAGATCTCACTGTCCCCCATTTTCCAGACAAGGAGCCCAAGACTCAGAGCAGTCTGTGACATGGCAATGAGCACAGGGGAAACCCTGAAAGGTCTTAAAGAGTGAGGGGTGTCAGGAGCAGCCCATGGTGCTCCTGGTGGGCAGGGGGGAGCCGGGTAGGGGTGAGGTGTCTGCCGGGGGAGGGAGAATATCTGTAGAAGAATCCTTTTTTCTCTTTCCCTGTATTTGTGGATGACAGAGGTGGGAATGCAGTTGGGAGTTTTCGGAGGCTAAGACCACCGCAGCATGAGTAGCCATATCCGTTCCCAAGGCCCTTTGTCACTGTTTCGCCAGAAGGTACTTATTTTTTCCCACTGAGTCCCTGTCTGGGACTGTCACCCAATCTCTTTTCCCAAGTCCTTTTCCCTCAGGGCCTTGCCTTTCTCCCAGCGGCACCTGCAGGCCAAGTCAACGTGCCCAGAGGAGTTGGTGTGAAGGCCATTGTCATCATCTCCCCTTCTTTTCCCGTCTGTCCCCAGGGACAGGCAGGAGGGTCAGGCTGGCTGCTGAGGGAAAAGGCTGGATCTGTCTAGTCTGTCACTCCTGGCTGAGACACCCAGGAAAAGTCCCCACACCCATGTGAACCTCAGCATCCCGATCGGAGCCTGGGGCTTGCTGTCATGGCTGCCCGCATCACCAAACGTGTCTTTCCCTCTCCTTGGCTGATCGCGGACCTTGGGTAAGTTACTCAGCCTCTCTCTGTGCCTTCCTTTGTCCAACAGGTGACAGAAGAGAACTGTAGTGACAATCACACGATCCACTTTCCAGAACACATCCTGGCACACTGCATCGCAGCACCGTCAACCTCAGCCTCGAGCGTCACAACCCCGTCGTGTCAGGAGAATTCTATGGGACGCCGTGTAAGTCATACAGCGATCACGCCGGCGGGAGTGCAGTGGTCAGTGGGGCAGCTGGGGACCGGGACATCCAGACAGGACAGCATTCCACACCCATGAAGGAGTCCTTGGTTTGGAAATCCAAGTCCATTTGGAAGCTTTAGCAGCCCTACTCCCCACCCTGTACATCTCTTGGCCTCAGTTTCTCCACGGGAACTTAAGAGATAGAGAAGTGGGGTGGGGGAGAAGGACAGGAGGAAATGGTCTCTAAAGACGTGTCCCACTTTCCCCGTGGCTGAGGGAGACTGGAGAGTGCAGTGAGTAGGTATACAAGTTGGGGGACTCAGGTGGCCTGGCCACCCCGGGAGCTGTGTGACCTTGGGCCAGTGTTTGCTTTTCACATGGACCCTACTCTACAGAGAGGAGGTGGAGGTGACAGTCACGGGCAGTGGCAGCTGCACCAGCTGTTTGCCTGATATGGAGCCCTCAGAGTTGACTGAGCCACTCAGTCCCTGTAAGGGTGGGACACCTGCCCACAGGAGGGGAGCGGGGAGAACCCAGGACCTCCTGGGTCCTCCCAGCCTCTCTAGGACAAGGAATACCAGTGAGGCAGGAACGAGGGAAGGAAGTTGGTGGGGACACATTCATGTGGTGCTGGGGGTTGCTGTGGCGGGGGTGGGGGGAGCAGGAAGAAGGACAGGAAGTCCTCTCCCACCCTTCCCCCAACTTCCCTTTCCTCCCGTTTGTGATGGATACTCTGGCAGGCAGCGGGGCGGGGCTGAGGGGGTGGCAGGAGAGCTTCTGAGTTTTGTCCCACATGGATGGGACAGGGGTGTGAGGGAAAGAGGCTCCCCAAACTCCCACCCCCAGCCCCTCTATGCCACCTCTGGCCGACAGGGCAGGGTGTACGGGGCCCAGGGCCATCTCTCTCCCATCCGGAGGAAAACGCCAGAGGAAGCTGAGGTTTGTGGCCAAGGTGACCGTGGAGGAGGGGCCTGTCTGCTCTGGGGTCTCTCTTCATCCAAGGAGCTGGCAGGACCACCCCCCATCCCTAATTGATTGCCTGCTGCAGGGACAGGCACCTGGAGTTTCCAGCTGGGCTTCCCTTCCCTGATGTACATGCCTGCTTGAGCACACTCACACACACACACACACACACACACACACACACACACACACACACACACACACACAGAGGGCCCCTGCCTCTCACGCATACCTCCCTCCCTGCACCGATGTCACCCATTCAGCTGTCTGGTTCTCTCTCACACATGCCCGCCCTCCTGTGTGACACACCCACAGAATGACCCTCCCATCTCTGGGGTCTCACATTCGACCATGACACACACACACCTCTGGTTGTCACAGATCTGCCTGCCTGGGGTGTCCTTCCCTCTCCTTATTACACACCCTTGGGGCGTTTCGCCCACAAGCCTCTGCCCCTCCCTCGGCATACACCCACCTCCCCCCCACTCCGTTGTACACACCCCTTCTGATGTCACTGTCGCACACCTCATGTGTCACACCCAACCACAGCATCTTCAGTCACACCCACACCCTGTCCCTGTCACAGCCCATCCCCAGCATCGCCTGGTCTCCACCCTGCCTACTAACACACTCGTGTCACCCCTTCCTCTGATGTACACAGCCCACCAAGGCTCACACCCAGGACCAAGCCCATTCACACACCCCCTTGCATCACACACACATACAATACACACAAACCCTTTCTTGCTCTGCCTCAGCCTCCTCTGGGGTGATGGGCACACACCTTCCCCTGCACACTGGAGGGTCTCAAATATGGAGCCCAGCCCCTCTGATCTCGCCCTTTTCCTTACACACACAACACACACTCAGCGTCACAGCGCTCTTATTCCTCAGCCAGGCTGTACAGGGCCGGCACTGACACAAACGCACACCTGTGCCAGCCTTACATCCCTCTACCTGGCTTTACACACCCACCCTTTCCTCCACTTTGCCCCCCCCCCATGCCCAGCACAGCAGGCACCCAGCACGGATCCTGTCCAGGGGCCTTCACCCCAGCCTCCCTGAGGGACAGCCCTGGACCAGGACATCCCCGGGAAGCGGCTGGCTGACTGGCTGGCTGGCTGGCGGCTCCTGGTGCCCAGGCCTCCTGCCCTCCATCCCCTCCCCCCCGCCGGGACACGCAAGCCGGGAACACCCCTGCCCTGCCAGAGTCACATCACACACCCCTCAAGGACACGCGGACACCCGCCCGGGGGGACCCACGCCCCCCCTCATCCTCCGCGCCCCCCCACAAGGACACTTGCCACCCCTCCCCCCCAACCCCTCTCATCCTAGACAAAGCTCCCAGCCCCGGGCCGCCGCGAGGGGAGGAGGGGGTCAGGCCCCCTCCCCGACTCTCCTCCCTCGTCGCCCCCCGCCTCGGGGAGGGGCGCCGCTGCTGTCCCCGGAGCCTTGCACCTGCCACGGTTGGTGGTGCTGGTGGGGAGGATGGAAAAGAAGCGAGGGCCTGTCTCCCGGCACCCCAACCCCGCGCCCCGCGCGTCCACCGCAGCCCCTTTCTCTCACCTCCCGTGTTGCTGCGTTTGGTGGAGACCACCTCGGGGGGCGTTTCGAGGGGCCTCTTGCGGGAATCCGGGGCCTCGGGCTCCATGGGGGGGGCCTGGGGCGGCGGCTGCTGCTGCTGCGGCGGCTGCGGCGGCGGCGGCGGCGGCTGCTGTGGCGGCGGCGACGGCTGCTGGGGAGGCTGGGGTTGCGGCGGCGGCGGCGGGGGCGGCGGCGGCTGCGGGGCCGCGGAGGCCGTGAAGAGGCCGTGCACCGCGCCGGCGGCCATCATCCTCATGGTGGGGGGGCGGGGGAGGGAAGGGGATGTGGGAGGGGGAGGGGGCGCGCGGGTGGGGGAGGGGGAGCCCCGGCGAGGGGAGGCGGGCGGGAGCGGGCTCTGGGGGGGGGTGGCGGGGGTGCGGACGGAGAGCGGATGTGAACCGAGTGGGAAGGCACGGGGTGTATGTATGTATGTGTGTGTGAGTGTGTGTGTGGGGTCTCCGACCCGAGCCCGGGGAGAACTGAGGGGTGGGTGGGGTCTCTGTCTCCTCTCTCTCTCTCTCTCTCTCTCTCTCTCTCTCAGGATCTAGGAAGCCGGCCACTGGCCGCGCCCCCGGGGGTGGCGGACGGGGAGGCTCCCCAGGGCGCAGGGCCGAGCCCCCCAGGCCCTGCTCGGGGCGGGGGGCCGGAGGAGCGCAGGCGGCCGTTAGTGGGGGTCCCGGGGGCGGCGGGCGCGGGCGGCAGCGGCGGCGGCCCAGGCGGTGGCTGCGGGCCCGAGCATCTTCCCGGGGGCTCCCACCGCCGCTGGCTCCGCCCTCCCGCGCGAGGCCACGCCCGTGCCGGCCAGGGCCACGCCCCCGCGGCGCCCTCATTGGTCCTCCTTGGAAGCCCCCTGCGGGTTGGCCACGCCCCCCCATCCGGGGTTGCCAGCGAGAGGGACCTGCTTCTTGCCCCTCCAGGATCTGAGCTAGGGACCCTGGGATCGGCTTTTAGTGAGCGCTTATTCAGCGCCGGCTCTGGCTCCACGGGCGCTCTAACCTTCATTGCCCGGAGCCGGCAACTGTGTGTGTGTGTGCACGCCCACTCGGCAGATGGGAAGACTGAGTCGCACAACCTTACTCGGTTACGATACCAAACTCGGCTCAGAGCGTCTTCAGGTTGACAGCCCTGAGCAGCTGTAAGGGCTCAGGGCACTTGCCTGAAAGGGGAATCCAACTTAGAGCTTGTGACCCCAAGCCTGGCATCCAGCAGGCTCTGGCTTCAAACCAACCCCCAACACCCCAGGACATAGGGGCCTAAGAGTGCTGTGTCCCCCTGCACAGTAAGCCCGTCAGTTCAGGGGACTGAAAAAGTCCCCTTTTCCACAGGAAAGGTGGAGGGTGGGGGCGCCCCGCCAGTGTGGATGGAGGGAAAGCTGGATCCACGGAACCAGTCGCTGGCAAGGGGCGACCCTGTTTGCAGCTGCTCTCTCGTGTCATCTGGTCCCTAAGCTCCCTTGTCCCGTATTCTCCATCACTGAGGACTCTCTCCTTCCTGGGTCAGCCTGAGCCAAGGCTGGACTCCGAGGGACTTCCTGGAGCTCCCAGGGTGCTCCGAGTGGTGGTGGGATGGGCTCCACACCACTTCCTGCCCAGGTCGCCGGCATGCCGGGTAGCAGATGGCCTGGGGTGGACGGGGTGGTCGCCCATCTGTCCCCTCCCTTCATTATCCCTGGAGCCAAGGGGATGAGAAAGGAGGGGCTGTGGTCCAGTGCAGACTGAATACGCCCTCACCATCTTCCTGGTCCCTGAGGTGTGTGTGTGAGAGGTGGGGAGGAGGGAGGCAGAGCTGAGGAGCTGGTTGTCATGGAGACAGGGGAGAGGTGGGACGGGAGTACAGGGAGATCCCAGGGTCACTCTGAGATTCACCCCCTGGGACCCTCCTAGTCATACAGAGTCACGTCACCCAGGCAGGCCCAGCTCTACAGCTGTGACACACATGCAGGTCCTACTGGGGGTGCACAGGTGTATGGGAGCCCTGCACTTCCACACAGGTGCACTCTGACGTGTGAAGGCTCCCAGGGGACAGGCGTGCGTGTGCACACACACACACACACACACACACACACACACACACCTCTAAGTCAGATGAACCCAAAGACACAACACAGGCTTTCACACACAGACAAGTCACACCAGAACATTGTGTATGCCCTAGGTGCCCAGATTCAGGGCCATTCCCAACTACCTGTCTGGCGCTATGTACCCTGAGAAATTCCACCTATATGATCAGAGCCTCAGGACATACATGGCCTAGGTCACATAAGACATATGCTACTGGCGTGAGCCATGTGGACTGGTGGGCAGATTCCGTCAGGCCTTGCACACCATGCAGGTGGCCGCAAACACTCAGAGTCCGGGACACACAATGTTCAGACGTTGGTTGGGTGCCACCCAGTGACACACACAATACACAAGGGAGGCTGTGTGCTACTCGGCCCGCACACGGCCCCATCTCCACGCCCCCACCCCCCACAAACACACACATCCCGAGCTCTCCCGTTTGGTCGCACACAACAGCACGGTCGGTCACACACTCACACTCACACACAAACACAAACCTCCTCCTAGATATTTTTAAACCCGGGCTAGTTCTGCTGCCATGGCAACCGCCCCAAACCCATCACCATAGCAACCCAACGTCAGCTTTCCAAGCACCAAATCCTGGGGGATTGCAGGGCCCCAATCAGAGGCTGATAGAGGGGGCTGCACCCTCCACTATCACCCACGCCACCTCAGGGTCCCCACCCTAGAGCGCTCAGGGAGTAGAGGCACCCTAGGCTAAGCAGGAAGCAAGAATGAGGGGCCACAGAGCCCCAGGTGAAGCTGGGACAGGGGCCACCCCTCACCTGCTCCCTGGAGCTTCATGGGGGTGGCGCTCCCTGGAGGGTGGTCAGCTGCATCTGGACACACACACAAGCCTGGCTTTGCAGCCTGCCACGCATGAGCTGTGTGACCTAGGCAGGACCTTGTCCTCTCTGAGTCTGGGGCAAGGTTGCTGTCTCTGCCAGGGATGCTAACACCCTTGCAAAGAGGGCTTCACCGTCCAAGCACATCTACCTGCTAATGTTGACTTCCCACCTTCCAGCTGCGGGGACTCAGGCCAGGGGACTCCCCTGGGAACAGGGACAAATGCTGGAGTATGTAGGGCTGTCAGAAACCCTACCCCATGATGGGTGTGGCCACCAGCTCACTTGGTGTGGATTTGGACTTGTTTATCTTTATATATTTTTAAAATTTTAATGATCTGAAAGGCAGAGTTAGAGAGAAACAGAGACATCTTCCATCCACTGGTTCACTCCTCAAATGGCCACATCAACCAGAACTTGGCCAGTCTGAAGCCAGAAGCTTCTTCTGGGTCTCCTACATAGGTGTAGAGGCCCAAGCACTTGGGCCATCCTCCTCTGCCTTTTCAGACCATTAGCAGGGAACTGAACTCAAACTAGTGCAGCTAGAACTCAAACTAGTGCTCCTATAGCCAACACCTCAGGTGGCAGCTGTACTCGCTATTTCAAAATGCCAGCCCTTGAAATTGATTACTTTTTTTTAAGATTTATTTATTTTTTTATTACAAAGTCAGATATACAGAGAGGAAGATCTTCTGTCCGATGATTCACTCCCCAAGTGACCGCAATGGCCAGTGCTGTGCCGATCCAAAGCCAGGAGCCAGGAACTTCCTCCAGGTCTCCCACGCGGGTGCAGGGTCCCAAGGCTTTGGGCCATCCTCGACTGCTTTCCCAGGCCACAAGCAGAGAGCTGGATGGGAAGTGGAGCTACCAGGACTAGAACTGGTGCCCATATGGGATCCCAGCACATTCAAGGCAAGGACTTTAGCCACTAGGCCACCGCGCCGGGCCCGAAATTGATTACTTCTTAAGCAAGGCCTGATGGGAAAGTTGCTGTCATTATGCCCATTATGCAGAAGGTTCCAGAAAACTAACTAGGGAGCACAGAGCTACACAGTTCTGAAGGCTGGGATTAGGACGCTGGCAGGCAGTCACTCCCTCAGCCATTTCTCTCTCTTGCCTCTTAAAGAGAGATGGATAAGGGCCAGTATTGTGACACAGCCGCTTAAGCTACTGCCTAAAATGCCAGCATCCCATATGGGAACCGGTTTGTGTTCTGGCTGCTCCAATTCTGATCCAGCTCCCTGCTAATGGCCTGAGGAAGCAGTGGAAGTGGCCCAAAGTCTTGGGACTCTGTACCCAAGTGGGAGACCCAGATGGAGTTTCTGTGCCAGATTTGGGAAATGAACCAGTGTGTGGAAGATCTTGTTCATTCTTTCTGCCTCTCTCTTTTTTCCCTCTTTTCCTTTCTGAGATTTATTGATTGATTGATTTTTATTGGATAGAATTACTGAGAGGAGGAGAGGCAGAAAGAAGAATCTTGCATCCTTTGGTTCACTCCCCAAGTGGTTGCAATGGTCAGAGATGAGCTGATCTGAAGCCAGGAGCCAGGAGCTTCTTCTGGGTCTCCCATGTGGGAGCAGGGTCCCAAGACTCTGGCCCATCATCAACCACTTTCCCAAGTCACAAGCCGGGAATTGAACGGGAAGTGGAGCAGCCGTGACACGAACTGGCACCCATGGGGATCCTGGCACTTGCAAGGAGAGGATTAGCTAATTGAGCCATCACACTGGGCCCAACTGTACCTTTCAAATAAATGAAATAAATCCCCTTTTAAAAAGGAGAAAGAGAGAGAGACGGGCCTGGTGTGGTAGCTTAGTGGCTAAAGTCCTTTCCTTGCATGCACCGGGATCCCATTATGGGAGCCGGTTCTAATCCTGACAGCCCCACTTCCCATCCAGCTCCCTGTTTGTGGCCTGGGAAAGCAGTAGAGGAGGGCCCAAAGCTTTGAGATCCTGCACCTGTGTAGGAGATCCAGAAGAGGCTTCAGACTCCTGGCTTTCGATTGGTGTAACTGCGACCATTGCAGCTGCTCGGGGAGTGAATCGATGGACATAAAATCTTTCTGTCTCTCCTCCTCTCTGTATATCTGACTTTGCAATAAAAAATAAATAAGCAAATCTTAAAAAAAAAAAAGGAGAAAGAGATCAGTGAGGAATGTAAGTTCTTGG